CTCTTTAACCAAGAATGTTATACATGGGTTTTCATGAAAGATATATTACTTAGGAATGCTAATTCTTTGTAAGTAACTCTTTGACATTCAGAAAAGGTTTTAAATAGATTAATTTTAGAGGTACAATTTAATCTAGAGGTGAGAACAATTACTTCTTTAGGAATTATTTTTCTCCTGTATACAGGAGTAAATTTACTATATACTTACTTTGTATAAGTAAACACTAATTGAAACATGTAAACTTTATGAATACTTTTAAATAAGCCCAACCACCCTGTGAAGTCTCCATTTCCCTTACCAACTCTCAGTTTCTTCTTTTTTAATACTTAATTTGATTGGGTGAACTGACATTGTCAATCTGCAATCCAATAACATGTTTGATAGCTACTCAGAAGAGAGTCTAGTTAATTTTTGGAAGTGCTGTTATGTAAATAAATATTCTTGCAGAGCGCTGAGCCAAGGCATTTGCTGATTAATCAGAGTTTTGCCCTTGTCTTCTGCAAGAATAAACCTTGAAATGTCAAGAGATACTTTAATGCTTTTAAATGGCAAGAACACACCCACACTTTTTTTTGGTCAGACAGTAAGTGAAAATTCTGAATCTAATCACACTATACAATCTTTGTGGTATGCAGTAGGCCAAATATCCATCAAGACTTGCTTTTTCTTATCAAGTAAGGTATTTCATTTTTTTTATTTTAGTAGATTATTGTTCCTTCACCACTATTAAATAGGCTAGTTCTTTTGCATTTCCAGGTGTTAATCCCCTGTCTTACAAAAAAGAAATATGTTAAGTAGAATCCATTTTGCTGATAATGAATGAGATTATATCAAGATTCTAATTGGGAGGATCTGATTAGATTTTAATTAGCTTGCCTTAGGTTGAATGCAGGGCATAAAGAGAATAGTTGCCATAAATAATCTCCATGACCTATTCCAGCTGCTGTATTGCATAGTTATAAAGGTAAAACTATTAGTGTTTATGACAGTCAAGTAATGAAAAAAATATTGCAGATTGTGATACTTTTTTTTTACATGGAGTAAAAGGAAATAATTTTGCTTTTCTGATGATAATAATATGAGCTATTAAAATATATGTAAACAAGGAAACAAATTAGGAAGGAAGGAAAGGGGAGATTCCATGCTTTCATAATCTTAGTGCTGTGCTTTGAAGAAATCGTAATATTTCTGATGTATGAACAGTTTAATTTTCGGTTCTTCAATATACTTTATGAAATGGACTCATATCAATGGAATGGACATTTTAGTAGATTGCCTCATATTATACAGAGCAGTTGCAATGGGAAGACTTAGACGGGTAATGCGATCTGTGCATTTTGTGATGTAATTATTTGTCATGATAGTTACAGAGAAGCCAAAAAAAGTCCACAGTTGACAGAAAATGTTTGTATGTGTGTGTGGAGTCATTTGCAATGGGAATAGCTTCTAAATGTACAAGAACATTTATATTTTAACATTATTAGGTTACAATATTGGACTACTAATATTGAAAAGTGAAGATTTTATTTTAGATTTATTTACCGTAGTTAGGAATGCAGTAGATCACTTTCTGCTTTTTTTGTAAAGACAGCAACATTTCCTAAATTTTCAAAAAAATAATGGTGTTCTGTTCAACTTATAGTATGTTCCATATGAAAAAATAAAATAAAATAAACTCCACAATTCCCATATTATACTAATCATGGCGAGCTAACCCAGCTGATGTTCATTAAGTGAAATCTGTATGTTGATAGAAGACTAGGAAATTTACATTTACGGTGTCAGAAATTGGTCTTTTTAAAAGTCTGTAGTGTAATCAGATTTAGAAGATGTTTATATGTTTAGCATATCCACAAATGACTCCAGCAAGATTGAGAATTCAATTGTTCAGAAGTCGTAGCTCTGAAAATTTAGCCATAATGATTAAGTCAGCAAATGTTAGAATGGCTGGAATCTGTACCTTTAATAGAACTGTTGTTCAAACTTAAAATAACATTAAAAATCTTCCCATTCACTGAAGATTCCCTCCCAGATTTCCATAAATAAATAAAGAGATGTTTTGCCACTAATATGGTAATAATCTTAACTTCCTTTTACCCATTCCACATCACACAAAAAAGGAGGAAAATTATCTTCCCCAGGTTCAAGATCCTTGACAGGACAGAACACTGTAAATGGCCCCAATCCATGGTTAGCTTTTATGCAAATTTTACAACATCCTCTGATGTTGTATTAAAAAGATCAAAGTGGAAATAATTGACTGATGGCTTTTTTCTATAAAAGGGAAAGTCTGCTTGCAATAGGTCACAGTGTGAATGTATTTAAATAATTTTTTGTTGGTGTTAGAATTGTGCCCAATACAGAACTAATATGGTAATCTTTCTAGTTTCTACTTTGTGCATAGATGTTTCCTATCATGAAACAGGTTAAATTATTCTTAGTGCATCTTTTACAGTGCATCTATTTTCATTTTGTTTTAATACTTGGCTTCTATACAGTGTCCTGCATATTGGTGAATATTTAAGTTTGAACTCACAATCATCACAACTTCTTAATCATAAATAAATATTGCACGCAGTTTCCTAATGGACCTTTTTGAGAGGTGATAGCACTGGTATAGCTACAACAAAAAACATTTCTATGGGCAAAACACACCTTGCCTTGTTTTATAAAACCACTCCAGAATATGTTTTGCAGTTATTTCAAATATCATGTAAAAATCAACATCCTTTATAATCATCTGCTTGTATTGAATTACCTGCCAGATATAAATACATACTGTTGAAATACCTCATTGAAACTGTCAGGTTATCAGAATATGAGAAAAAAAATATGAAATAAATGTTGAAGATTTGGAGTGGCTTCACTGTTAATCTGACAAGAGTATTTCAACAAAAGATAAAGCTAATACAAATTGCAATCAGATTTATTAATTTATTATTGAAAAAGTTTATTTTCTTGCAAATAGGAAGATGGAATGCATCCATGAGAGACAATAATAAGTGTATGCTAGAATCTCTAAAACTTTGCCCTTCTACTCTACTTGAAGCAATAAGGAACTTATTTAAATAATAGTTATAATTTTAATTTTTGGAGGGATGTGTGTCTTCCTGTTTCAAGTCCAACTGTTCCCTTTTGCTGCTTACTTTGATTGTTATTAGCCTTTAATGTTTCAAACATTATTTTTGTAATATTTAACTTTTTGCTTCTTTGCATTGCTTTCAATAGATCGTGATACTGATCAGAATCAGTGAGATCAAAGGCCTATCATGCAGTATTTAATATTCTAGTGTCACTAATGATGAACATGAGCAGAAAGTTAAAATATCTTCCCTATGAATATTTCACAACTAGGGGAAGTCCTGAAGTACCTACATATGTTTGGAAACCTCATTTTGAAAACAATAAAGCATTGTTATGTGTACCATTTGTGTGCCTGTCTCTCTGTCTGAGAAAACAATTACAGCTACCAAAAGGAATTGGTGTAGACTAGATGACTAGTATAAATTGAATTAGTTTGACAAGGACATTTGGGGTGGGAGCTGAATGGACCATCAGCCTGATGGAAAACAGAAGAAAGCTCTTGGTGACCCAGATGACCTAACATGTCAGTGTGGGTTTTCTGTGTGGTGCTCTCATTCAGAGCCAAAATGCTTATTATTCAATAAAATCAATTTGATTGAGGTTCATGGCACAATAGAGAATTCACTTTCAAAGGGGGGAGAAATTCCTCAGAGTGCATTCTAATGAATGCTACTTATCTGGAATGTCTGAACATTGTATACATCTCTAAAAAAGCATATTAAGTTTGGGTAGAATGTATTGTCCTTGATTTTCCACAATTTTATAAAAGTGAGCATTTCCAATGCTTGTTAATAATAGTGAAGCAATTTTCTTCATTTTGTCATATATTTGAATACTTATTTTGTGCTTTTCTAAGCTATTGCTTGTGACTATGGCATTCCACAAAGGATAGAGAAAATAATATGAAGCATATTATATTTTTAAATGAAAGAACATATAATACTAATCCTTAATCACTTTAGGACTTACTGACATTCTTTTTAATCTTCTGTTCATGGGTATTGGACACTAAATATTTGTGAATGTATTGATTGTGCTATAGACAATATTAATTGCATGGGGGTAAGGGTGAGAAATATTTTGTCAGGTTCACATTCTGATTTGAAAGTTCACAACTGCCAAACCACAATATAACTTTCCATTATATTTTTATTCTGTAATGGAGTTCACCAAATGAAGAACTTCTGAAAAAGATGCCATAAAAAATATGTAGCTTCATGGAGATTTTTTCCTATAGATATAACAAAAGCTAAAACAGCCAAAAGAAGAAGAAAATATGATCCTTAGTTATTTCTTTAATATACAACAAAGATGGAATAAAGTATGATATTTTTTATGAAATTGCTTGTTTTAATAAATCTGCAGTATGCATTTATGGTGTTATTAGCAACTACCTGAAGTGGTTATGAACTAATATGTAGAGATTGCATTGAAATCTATATACTAATAATATCACTCCTTCTTTTATTCTTTCTACTATATTTTAGTTACTTATTTTCTTTCTTATTTTCAGTTTTAGGTATTTCTTGCCACATTTCAGATAATAAAGAAATGAACTGTTAAAAATGCAGACTTTAAAAAGTACATTTAAAACATTTCAGAATTATTTGGTGCAGTATTTATTTTAAAATGCATAAATAATAGTAATTTATGTAATAGTAGTTGGTACATAGTAGTATCTTCTGTGTTAACAGTCCCAACAAGGTTTTTTTTTGTCGTTTCTGAAAATATAAAGTTCTGCAAAGCTACCATTTCAGTGCATAACCTCTTAAACGTATGTTAACATTTTCATTATTCTTCCTCTTCATGTCACGGGTATTTGCAGTTATGAACACACCTTTATGCCAATATTTTGTATTAAATTCAGTCACTTTCAATGAGTTCATAATATTTGTTTTTTTGTTTCTTATTTTTAGGGACTTAAGTGAAAACCAGATTCAAGGCATCCCTAGGAAGGCTTTTCGAGGAATTACTGATGTAAAGAATTTGTAAGTATTGTCTATCTATAGAATTTGAGCTGAAGCTAAAATCTTTTCATATGCTATTTTATGTATTTAGTGTATTTCAGGACAAGTTATGCATCTTTGTGTTATACAGAAATAGTTTCCTTGCTTAGAAATAGATGTTCACCTTTGACATCCATTCACATCTTGGTTAAATATATGTATATGCTTTCTATATATTATTTTCTCTATTGCAGTCTTCAAAGTCTGTTGAAGAGAACTTGGAAGAAATTGATTAATTAGCTTTGTACTATACAGGTAGTCCTTGATTAACAACAGGAGTTGGGATCAAAATTTTCATTTGCTACCAATGCAGTTGTAAATGGCATGACTTCATTATTTAGCAATGGCAATTGTAGCACTTCCCTTTGCTATTGTTATGGAATGATTGCAGGTAATTAAGCAAATTCTAGGTGGCTTGTAAATAGGCCAGCTGGCTGGCAGGTAAGTGGCTGGTGCCAGGTGGGGGGAGATGCCTGGGTGTACCACAAAGTGCAGCATGTGTGCAGTAGGGTTGTGTGTGTGAGAGAGAGACCATGTGCATGTGCATTTGCTGCTGGGTAGGGGAGGCTATGAGCGATTTAGCAGAGCAACTTGCAAGCTTTTCCACCACTTCCCCGTTGATTTTGCTTGTGGGAAGCAGGCAAAGAAGGTTGCAAATGACAATCTCATGACCATAGGACACTGCAACTATCATAATGTAAGCAAGTTGCCAAGCACCCAGATCACAATCACGTGACTGCAGGGAACCTGGGATGCCTGAAATTTTAAGAACTGGTTATAAATATCTCTCATTCTGTGCTTTCATAACTTTCAATGGTCACTGAAACAAGACAAATTATTAATAACTCTAGTGAATATATAACTCAGTGGACACATCTTCAAAGATTTTCAATGCAAGCAACAAGTCTCTTTCTGTAGTTTAAGAAAGATGTAGTGGGTATTACATTCTGTGATACGTAAGGAAATCTAGGCCCCCTACAGTGGAGACTGCGGAAGCTTTACAAATTACACACAGTGGGGGTTACAGCTGGTACGCCCCGGTAGGGGGAACCAGTGCCTGCTGTGAGCACCAGTACTTTTCCAGTACAGTGCTCCAGAGGGCCCACCACCCACCTGCCTTCCTTACCTGTATTTGACCCAACCTGGCCATTGTGCATGCACACAGAAGCATATGGCACCTGCACAACACGCCGCCAAGCAGCTGGAGCGTCGTGGGTGGTAAGGTTGCGACAGGATCCAGAACCCACCACTGATTACACATTCATCACAATTGAATTTTGTATTGTTCAACTAACGTTTTGTTCTGTTAATATTAGAGCAATTTGCATGTAGTTCTTTCCACCAGGACTATAAAGCTGTTGTAATGTATTTTATCAGTAGTTTTTCAGGAATCTTATCCAGTGCACCAATATATTTTATTTTAAACATAGAGATGAAACTGAAAAAGAAAACTTCCCAGACAATATTCACGAGTCATTGGACAGAAGTTTAACCTGGAGAATTCAGCCTCATGCTTTTAATTGCAAAGCTACCACACCTTAAGGGAGCCAAGCATTTAATTATTTTTCTCTATTCATTTTCTGAAGTTGTATTTCTTTTTTATGTGGCTAACTACCATTACATTCATTTCTATTAATTTGGATTCATTAATTTTGATTTCACAAGATGTCCTGCTTTAAATTTAGCAGTAAGATATAATTAACATATACAGTTAGGTTAAGAATAGAACAAAGATAATTGAATCAGTCTTCACAAGAGGAAACAAAGTGTAGGAAATACTTTTAAAAAAATAGTATTTGGAAAAAGCATCTTTATGCTGCAACTCTAAAATAATTGGTGCATATGGTTACTATACAGGGAATAATTGAAGAAGGAGAATAAATATTCTTCTTTACATTTCTTACATACCTGATGTTAATGCTCATATCAATCTGTCCAGCTTCATCTTTTCTTGGGTGGGTGTAGCCACCCTCTGCAGCTGAAGTGGAGCCCCAGGAAAAAGCATTTGGTCTTTAGTGGTTCTGGCAGATGCTATATGTGCTCATTCACACTCAAAATCACATTTGACTTTTCAAATTCAGATCACTGCACAACCCTACTGCTTAGTTTCAGTTGTACTTCAGAAGTGAGGGAGGAAAGAGTCACCTGGGGAAAAGAGAATCAATCAGCAAACAATTAGTTTCACTTAGAAATACCTGTTCTGAAGTATTTTGGGAAGGTTAGATATTGAAAAAGGCTGTTCTTTCCATAAGGAAAAAAATATATATGTGTTCACTGAAGTACCATTTTACAGAGAGAGCTGGATGGATTTTCATCAAGGCCTTTTACTCTAGTTCTAAGTAGTGCTCTCTACTTAGAACTACTTAGAACTAGAGTAAAAGGCCTTGATGAAAATCCCTTAGTTAAACTTTAAATAGCTATTTAAAATTGTTCTTCTTATTTTTGATTAGGGAAAACCAAATCTCATTTTTAGAAAAAGAAAAAAGCAACCAGTATTCATGAGCAGGCAAAAGGTTTAAATGAATTCAAAAGGGGGGGGGGGATAGTAGAGATTTAATCAAAAACATCATCAAATGTATTGGTAGATGAAAGTTACTTCCTGAAATTGTACTGAAGACATTGAAAAAGCTTCAGATGAATAGTCTGAATGACTAGTTTTGTATTATTTTTCCCCCTTAATTACTGAATCAATTTCAATTTTTAATCAAATTTCTGATTCTATGTAGACTTATCTAGTATCATGCTAATGTTCAAAGCTTATTATAGTCACAAAAGCATTTAGTATCATGATCAGTATTTTATATTCTGTGTTGTATTATATTATTACTTTATCCCACCCATTTTAGATTAAACTCGGGGTGGCAAAAACACCTAATATTTCTTCTTCCTATTTTCCCCACAACAAAAACGTTTGAGGTGGGTCAGGCTGAGAGAGGATAACTGGTCCAAAAATTGCCCAACCAGCTTTCATGCCTAAGAGAGGCCTAGAAGTCACACTCTCCTGCTTTCTGGGCCAACACCGTCACCATTTCATGGAAATTGCTTTTGTACATCCAAGCACATTGTGACGGCTTCTTAAGAAACTAACATCTGTTGACAAAAATTGAAATAAATCCAAAGTAAATTATTACAGTAGCAAAAAGTAGGAATGAATTATAGCTTGCTGTTTGCTGATAGACAAAGCATGCCACTGGTCCATGAACCATACCAGATAAAGGAAGGCAATAGCACAACAAAAACTAAGATGAGATTAAGGGTCTGAATATATATATGCAAATGTGCATGCAAATGTGGCCATGATAGAAAAGTATGGATTCAGTTCTGAGACTTTGTGGGGATTTTTACATTTTTACACTTAGGTTTTTAAATGTAATTTGGAGTTCGTACTAGTATATTATTCACAGTAGATGGTCCTTTGACTCTCATTGACTTCTTTGAAAATTTGGTAGCTAAATTTTGGGAATATATTATTAAAATTATGTTGCCAAGTTCAGGCTGTTGGGAGAGCCTCAGCTGCTGTTGTCTGCTGCACACAACATTCTGTGCTGCTTTCATGTCCGCATTTCTATTGTTGCCAAACTACACTGTGCCTATGTCATATTGGGGAGGTTGTCAGTCTGTGCTCGGGATGAAAAGAGAAATTGTACAGTAATGCAATATCTTGGGTCCAAGAACAGTTTGCAGCTGTTAAACAACACATAAGGAAATTCTGCTGTCCACTGAATTAATTGTTTCGGATCCATGTTGCGTTACTTATTATAAAAGTATTACAGCTTCATGATGAAGATACAGACTGACTTAAATTCAACCTATTATCTGTCTCCTTCACCTATTTTCTAGCTTAGATTGGCTTCAGCACTTGTGGCCTTTGGCCTGTCTGCAGCTGAGCTCGAATAGCAAAAAATACAGCAGGGAAATAATTGACACTGATGGATTGAGCCCTGCACATTTGTACGCTTTATGTTGCAGGCAATTTCCCAAGTGATTTTCTAATTAAAAAAACAATGTTGCACTTCCGTTGGCCTAATTAGGGTAACTGTATGGAATACATCTTGGGCCACCCCAGAGAGGAATGAACCGGAATATGTATTTTAATTTATGGATTAAATTACTGGGAGGAGGTAGAGTTTTTCATTTATATTTATATTTTAATACCTGTTACTGGTAGTGGCCAGAAATCTGGCCTTTGCATTTTGGCCTCTGTATTGCAATTAAAGTTATGCAATGCAATAATGAGCGTAATCTATAAAACACCACTTAAAAGATTGCTTTGGAATGTTCAGCAGAGGAAATTGTTTTCCCTTTCTGGCTGTAGGATTTGCCAGTCATCCGGGATCACTTAAAAGCCCTACTTGCCATCCTTGAACAATTAACTTATCCTACTGGAGGTCCGATCTCGGGACTTTCCGCATTATTTCATCCTGGCAGCATCTAATAGAAATTAAACAAAATTTTACCTAATGGTATAGACATTTCTTAGTTCATAATTTGTGCCTTGTTTCATTACCTGATTTATACTCTTAAGCTCTTTCTTTGTTATATTTAAACTTTATAATTCTTACTCAGATATTGTCCCAAATTATCTATTCATTGATTAGATTATTATTCCACACTTATTATTTCATAAATAACTTAAGGGAGCAATCCCTGTCTTCTATTTTCTCCACAACAACTGTGAGGTGGATTGGACTGAGAGAGAACAAGTGGCCCAGTTTTCATGCCTAAACTGGGACTAGAACTCACACTCTTCCTATTTCTCAGTCAGCACTTTAATCACTACCAAACTGCTTCTCCTATTCATAACATTCAAAATGGAAAATGTAAACGTATTTGTTATTTTATACTTATTGTAAAATATTTTCTAATAGCATTCTAGGATGAAGCAACCAAGTGGAATACACAGATATACAGATTTAAATGTTTGGTATAAATTGGATTGTAACATAAAGCCATGTTTATAATATCCACTCTTCCTCTAACTT